ACTCAGGCTGCGTCGCAGGGTGGCAGTCCTGGGCAAGGAGGCTAAGGCACACCGTCGTCAAACTCAGCCTTGCGTAGGCTGACCGGTCCCCAACCAAAGACAGAACTCGCAACTGGTGAGCCACATGTGCCAGTTCAAAAATATTCCTGACATTCTGACAAACCCCTCTCGCTGCTCCGCTGCCCCTGCAGTCAGAAACCTTTGCATCTGCTTCACTCACGCAACGTCTTTTTGAAGGCAAATGCCCCCACTAGCAAGTTGTCGAAAGCATAAACCTGTGGGTAGTGCTCCCCTGTTTTTGGCAATGATGATAGAAGCCAAAATGTTCTATCTTCCCCCTCACCCGTTTGATTCGCTCAACGTTGGTCCCTCCCTGTGTGGTTCCCTCCCGGGCCTGCCAGTGAGGTATTCGCTCACCACCTTCACTTGGTCTTCCCCGAGGTCTAGCAGCGTAACAGAGCCTGGGCAAAGGTTTGAGCAACACAGCACAACTCCAGAAATTGCTTGGCTGTTTGAGTTGGTTGCTTCGGCTTGTTCTAGGATGGCCAACCGTTACAAAACCTAATACGAAGCATGCTTGCCCTCCCTAGTCCTTAGACAATTCGGCAACAGTTGCTCTCCCTCTGTTAGGAGGCAGCTGCCTCTCCGACTTCCGCTCCGCCTCCAACCTCCCCTCGGCTGCTAACGGCCCCGGCTGTTGACAGCCTCATCCACCGAGAGCTCGGGCGAGCGCAGCCGCTCCTCCAGCGCCACTCGGATGCGGCCCATCTGCAGCTCCACCTGGCAAGCGCCATCCGGCAACGTGCCCAAAGCGCCATCCGGCAAAGGATAGAAAGGCGCCCAGTAATTGACGTGTATAGAATCAGAATGAATCAGATCCCCACCTCGAAAGCATCTTGGATCCCCAGGTGATCACGAAAACTCTGGGGATTTTGGGAAGAGAATCCCCAGTTCGAAAAGGAAGCTGGAAAGGAATTTGAAGCTCCAAAATGTTGATCGCGATTTCAACTCTTTGGTCCGATCTGCACGATCTGGACGATCTATTGGCAGAGGTGGAGACCAGAAATCACTACACAGGCCGCACACGATCATCACATGGGAAGATCTTGGCAAATCCAACACTGGAAGATCATTTTGGAAGGCCTTGGTAAGACATTGGAAGATCATCGCACCTGTACAAAGACCTCTTCCAAATTTGGCATCCTCCTCGACAACACAGGGAATCGCTGTTTCTGTTTTCTTCAGCTGGCGTCTGCCGTTGGAGCCTCTTCCAGCACCTTCTGAAAGGTCGGCATGTGCCTGGCCCCCGGTCAGGCCATGACGAAGCTCAGCTCGAAGATGGGTGAAAACCCGTGTAGCTCATGATGCTCAACCCATTGACCCATCCAGCTCAGCACGCGTTTCTTCCCGCGTCATCTACATCTAAGCTTCCATCCAACTGCAACGAGACAACTGCTTGGAGTGTCTGGTAGCACTGCCAGCCACTGCAGCAAGCTGCGTAAGTTGGACTATACAATTGAGTTGCGTATTGAAGGTACAAGTGTCATAGTGTCATTTCTGCACACCAATGGGTCTATTCAATCTCAATATGTGTCTCCGATTGTCTCCGCCTGTATGCCCCACATTTCTCCGCCTGTATGCCCCACAGTTCCAGACCTTTGTCCACCCGTTTCCCTCCCTCAGCAGCTGTACTGTCGGAGGCGCCTGTACTGTCGGAGGAAGCCGGAGCAGCAGCCTCAGCGACCATGGAGTGCCAACAGCGTTGCTGTGGATGGTGAAAAGGACCAAGGTCTGCGTGGCCCTGCAAGCCAACCCTGAGAGAGTAGACCCGGAAATCTCCTTTTCCAGAATAATATACTGAGATGCTATGTCAATCTATGTCACTGCATTGCGGGATCGTGCTGCTACGTAATACATGCACAGCGGTTCTCAAGGTTCCAAACAAACCATTGAGCTCAGTCGTTCACATCCTCACACTGTCTACTGCTGCCGGGCGGCAATAGGCCTCCACTGCCTCACCATAAGCCTTCCGATCCAGGCACTTCTGCAGTGTGCTGGGTAGCTCAAAAAGCACCTGAAGGTGGTGAGACTTGGTGAATGGTGACAGGTCATGAGCGGAAAAACTATGCAAAATCAGGGCCTTTCCCCCCCCACTTGGATTCCAGCCTCTGCCGACCCTTTTCCCTGACAGCAATGGGCAGTCCTCCAATTGTTAGCTGTCCAAAACGCTCCCTGAGAGCCGGCCTTCTAGCCCAGAAGTGGACAATGCCCCCCATACCAATGTCAAACGAGCACAACGTGGCGGAGCTCGCCTGCAACTTCCGGCAGATGCGCTGCCTCGGAAGATAATTTAGCCGGTGTAACTAACCATGGTCTGCCAAAAGGTTTGACCTTCCCGTTGGCAAGAAGAGTTTCCAATGCTGTTTTTTCCACCGACAATCATGAGCGCCCGGCTGTTTTAGCAGGCCTTCAATCTCCCCAGCACGTCCAGAAACGCCATCCTCGACCTTCTTTTGGTGGTCGGTGATCCTGCAGTCACGCTACAAGCAATTGGGGATTGGCACACGCTTAAGTCTGAATAGTGGCTTAAGAAGACATCGTCTGCGCTTCGCGTCATCTGTGATGCGAACTGCATACAAAGCATTTAGAAGAAGGGTCTCTCCTGCTAACGTTGCCTTCCAGAACCTTTAAGTCTGGGTCAAGCCCCTCGATGGTGAACTTCATCTGTTTGATGACATCCTTAGCCATCGAGTTCACGTGGTGTGTTTGTTCACAAAGGACATGAAGCAGTGTCGCACTCCTTTGGCAACATGGTAGTCATAGTCCACTCGATGTTGGATTCGTACGTTCTGACTGCTTGGACTCGAGGGACCCGAGACCCCTCTCTGAGCCAAGTGACCGTTGCTCGTATGAACTTACTGTAATTCCTGAGCGCAAGCGTCGCGGGAGTTCAAAGCACGGAGTCTCATCCATCGGCCGTTATTGATGCCCCTACAGAGCCCCACTTAACCATGTAAGCTCCTAAAACGATCTAAAACCTTGACCATCCTGCTCCAACGACCCAGTGATGTACTTCCTGCAGGTCACGCGGAACGCCAGTGGCGCGAAGCCAGAACTGAATCCAAGCCGCTCATACACGAGCATCTGCATGTCCCCATCCAGGTCCTCAACGTTCGGTGCCACGGTCCGTTCGGTCCCTTCTGGTCCGTGAACCCGCACGAGAGCCTGGAGGAGGCTCGTACCGGGTCCGGTCCAGCGCAACGCGGCGGGTTACAGACAGATCAGAAACATGGGGCGTCTCAAAACGGGCCAAGAGGGTCCAGGTGATCCAGGGACCCAGGTGATCAACTGAGCCAAGGTGCAACCGGGCCACACCTGAAAACGACCGAGAGACGCTACGCCGGTCGCTATGAATCCACCAACAGAGACGCCCCAAAGTACCTGTGCCCACCACGTCTGCCATCACGTCTTACCACTTTCGCCCTCCTCATGCAACCTTGCGCCCAAAAAAGCAAAAACTCTCAAAGCAAAAAGAGTCATGTTTTAAATCTATCTTCAACATGTATGTTCAGAATGTCTATGAACATCTATCTATCTATCGATCTATTATCTATCTATCTATCAGGAAAAAAGCACTCCGCCGGCCCGTGCCCAGGACTCGGGACGGGGTCCTTGATCTCAGCATCCAGCTCGTTGGCGCGTTTCACCAACTCTGGAAGCTGACCCGAGGAGACCATGCCATCGAAGTAGCCTCCGCGGCGGCTCCGAGCGCCGACACCAGCGACCGTCCGGGGTCCGCTGCAGAGGGACACCAGCACCGAGAGGCGTGCGCCCACATTGGCCCAGGTAGCCCCCCCACCTCCGCGAGGTGGGTTGGAATCAAAAGAAGTCCCAACTATGACTGTTGTTAGTAAGGTAGGAGCCCCCCAATAGAGCTTCCATTGGATCCAATTCCCTCATTCCCTACTTTCGTCGGACAAGTCACCACCTCGGTGGCACCAGTTGAACTCGCGATGATCGCTGATCTCGGCATCGACCTGCCCTTGTTGCGAACGTAGCTTCTAGCTACGAAGTAGTAGTAATTGATGTAGCAATGTCCTTGTTACTAGCTTCTTGCTACCTTCGTGTCGCGATACACCTGCTTCCGCTTCTGCACTTGGTGCGACCTGTTCTCGACGCTGTGTCGCCCAGGAGCGCTTGGCATCGAAGCCCTGTCGATCCAAATCGCTTCCGGTCGATCCAGGCGCATCCTTCTTCTCCGTACCCTCGATGTGGTAGTACCTCTGCAGGAACCCATAGGAACCCATAGGAACCCCCATTTGGCATGCCAATAGCGCAAACACACCCCAAGAGCAACCAGTTTACGTCACCTTAACATCTTCAAAGAACAGCCCCAGGCCACATCCGCTCGACTCTCCGATTCTGCCAAGTGCAAGGGGGACCGTTCAAGCCGACCCGATGCCGAAGCCAAGCCGCGCATTGAGAAGTGCTCCAACCCGCCGACGCTCCGGCAAGCGGCGGCCCTCCATGTCCCGACCGCGACACCGCAGCCGGCCGGTGCTACTGGGAGCCGGAAATGCCCCGAGCGAGGTTGAAGAGAGGTGAGAGCTGAGAAACTGGAAGATGTGGGTGCTTGAAAACCTCAGGATGGTTGTAAAGTGTTCTAAACTCATGCCATATGTTGGAACTTTAAACTTTACGCGACTTTGCTGTTTTGTCCTCGAAAATCCTCATGTTGCATCATGTTGTAGCATCCTGATGGTTCTACCTAACCGAATCAGTGATTGTTTTGCACAACGCCAACACCACTTCGATTTCTAATTCTCCCGTAGTGGAAAGGAGAGGTGGCATTCTTCGTCCTTCCCCTGAAGCCAGCCTCTGCGGGCCAAAAAAGGGGCCTTCTCCAAGTATCGCTAGTGACTCTAATAAGTAGGGCATGAGGGGAGAAGAAGAAAAAAAAGAAACACCCCTCCGTCCACTTCCCCCGCCAGGCGCGTTACGTGACCATCTTCCCAGGCTGTTGCACGCGTTCGCTGAAGGCCTTCCAATGTGAAGCTTCCGGCGGAGGACTCTAGTAAGCTTTGCACTCCAACTCATCAGGCCTTTTGAGAGGACCATAACAAGCGGGTGCCCAGGTCAATGCTGGCGAGTCGTACCAACCAGATTGCACGAGTGCGGTGGAGAAAACGTTCGGAGCCGTGGGTTTGCTCAAAGCTAGGCTTGATCATGTCGATTGGCACATCTCCCCACCCTCCCTTGGAGAACGTAGTGCACATCAAAACAACCGTGATGGTGACACATGCCAACTGGGGAAAGGGAGCCCAAACACAAAGAATCACGCACTAATCCGTTCAAACTCGGAACACCTCAAAATGTGCAAATCATGCGAATGCCACGATTGATCAGGGCGGGAGAGTTTTCATGCCCCGCCTGCACATAGGAAGTCTTCTTGTGCTTGGTCATGGGGATGATGGCATGGCGAACGACCTGGATCGCACGTGCCAGCTGTTCACCCATCCAAATGGGCAAACTGCACCAGGATTCGTGGATCCGCATCCCAAAAGGCCTATCACCCTGCGCCACACCGCTGCGCCACACCCCATCCCGACGTTCTCCAGGTCGCATCATGCGTGGTGTGAATCGACGGCCGGAAGTGCGGCATCACGGTCTTCAAATTGCCTCGGAGGAGCGGAAGCCGCTTCGGCACCGGGTCCACCACGGCACCGGGTAGTTTCACCGGTCCCAGAGGTTTCAGACCTTCGAAGCCGATTCGAAAGCACCGATCTCGCTGCGAAGTGACCCCAGCAGATCTTCCGGACTCACGGCAGCCCAGCCATGTCCAGCCCATCCTTCACGTCAAATCCTCGAGGTACCCGCTTTTCACCGAGAAGCACATGTTTGGCCCCTTGGATGCTAGCACTACCCATTTCAGGTGGTTGCGGTTATTGGATGGAAAATGCATCTTCAGGAGGGCCTATAAACCACCTTGGGTGGTGCTGGCAATAGACCATATACATCTATATCCCCTCTCCCTTGTTGCCCCTGGCTTCCCCTCGCTCCAGCCCGTTCCACCAGCCCTTACTTGCTCCGACAGGGAACGATAAAAGCTCAGGAGCTCTCGTACCGTGACGCCCCGCTCTGCCAGGTCCATGACCTTTGCTTTCCAGGCACTCGAGCTCCGCAAGAGGCCTCGCTGGCGGAGGGGTTGGGGGACGGCTGGGTTGGAGGAGAAGTCAAAAGAAGAGGCCGTTAGAAGAGGAGGGCAAAAGGAGGAAGGGGACCGGGTTGGAGGCCTGGGGGTAGTCTCATCTACAATCTCTACGGTTGTCGATAGTGGCAGGTGTGAGTATATAGGTATTTGACTATTTTTGAAGTATAATTGACTCACCTTTTCTGGGGCTGCTGGTGTGACCCGCAACCGCCGTCACCAGGTCTCTTAGACCAACTCAACAGTGGTCGGCGGGCACCCGAGACACTCATCGAGGTGGAAGCTCCTCAGTTGTAGCTGTCCAGTGCTGGGTGCTGGTGGCGTGCAGCTGGAAGGTTGAGCGGACTGGCTGCTGCAGCTAGGGATAAATGTTTCCAAAATGCAAAAGAGACAAGCTGATAGCAACAGTGTCAATAGCAATAGTGTGGCAATGGCGCATCTTTCTGCGAAACAGCCAAGCGTCTGGTCATGTTTGGAGGCTTCGCCTGCCTCAGGACCGCATCTCCATCACATTGGAGAGAAAATAAGTACAGTAAATGTTAAAGTTAAAGTTCCTTTCAGAAAAAGAAACCAATCATAAAACCTCCATGTTCTGCTGCAAATGCCAAGACCACAATTCCATACATCAGCTCATGCCCGTCGCTCCCCGTCCGTTTGGAGTCACTTGCTCGAACTCATCGATGTTCGATCTTCCGGAGCGTCCGAGAGGCACAGACTCCAAGGTGGCGAACTGGCAGGTGCATGGCCTCAGGCTTCCCCCGAAACCCGCACTGCTAGCCATCCAATCATCCGATGTCATCCAAGTCATCTTGGGCCCACGGGGGGGGAAATTAATTCCCCTCCGTCCGTCCATCCCATTCCAGTTGGAAAGTGCTGCAACGTCAGTGGACGGGCACCTCCGACTGAATGTTTCCTAGCGTTTCCCTGCAAAACTGCCAGGACGAAAGGAGCCCCTTGACGTCGGAATCATCCTATTGCCCAAGTGCGGTTTAGCTCAAGCCCGCCCCGCCACCCTTTTATGCCTTCATATGTAGATATACATTTATACTTGATACAGTTATATATGTATATGTTAAAACTGTCTATAATATGATATGATATGCACTTTTGGTATATTATACACACCCTGCTCTCATCTCCTCTCCCAAGTTGTTTCATGACGCGGCGTTTGACTCTGTGTTGCTTAGATAGCTACCGGACCACGACAGAGTAGGAGAACCAATCTATTTCCTCCTTGACCATCCCCAGACACCTCCGTGAATGGTACGGTGAAGTGCTACCCTTCAACATCAATGATAAATGTCCAAGAAATCACTACGTACCTCGGGCGACCAAACAAGCAAACCAGCCAACTTAAAATCAAAGAAAACAATACAAAACAAACAACTCCAAACCAAGCCACTCACCAGCTCAACCAACCCAACCGCCTACCAACCTTCCCTTTCCTCCCAGCCCAGGCACTCGGCAGCATCACCCTGTGACACCGGCACCTTTCGCCCCTCCACTGGGCGCCGGTAGCCGCCCGACAGGATCAGCGCCGCCGCCACGCAGGACGCGATGTCCAGGACCTCGCGGTCGGGTCGAGGGCCGAATCCGGACGGATGGCACAGATCCCTCGAAAGCAGGTGGAAGAGTCCGAAGCGGCATTTTGTGGCGGGTGTCCACACACCAACCCCCTCCGATCTTGGAAAAGGTCCCACGCAGGTCACAAGAAAGATCCAAGTCGCCTGAGCAGCAGTCCTCAGGGCCAGCTCTTGCTCGCTGATGTATCCACGGCCATCCAGGATGGTCTTCACCGCCAAAGGGACCACCCCAAAGCCTGTGGATCACTCCGAAAAATCTGCGGCCTCGCTTCCTGGCTGGGCCTCCGACATGTTCATCCGCTACTTCAGGTCTTTTCAGATTGTACCTTCTCAAGCAGACAACCCTCAGAATAACAGCTACAGTACCTAAGAGGGCCCCGAAAGCTCCAGCCAAGCCACTGGCCAGCACGTTCAAGGCCACACCCGCCAGCTGGCGTCTCACCACGGTCCGGGCACGCTTCAGCTGCTGCCCAGCACGCCTGGCCCACTGTCACACTGCTACGGCTAGAGCACTCTTCCGGCCAGAACCCACCCCCCCAAAAAGTAGCCTGATGCTCGGTGGTCTCAGGCATGCTTTGCTCACATTTCTGGTCGGATCTTCCCGGCTCATGGGCCCTTCAGAGGAACAAAAACATACAAAAACCACCTGGAAGATGGACAACAGCATGCCGTGTCACCTGTCTGCACTGATCGAGAAAACCTGACCTCAACGATCGTGCCTGGTACGCGGATGGGTCTGCGCAAACTCGTTGGTGACGACCAGCGCCTGAAGTGAGGCAAAGTACAAGCTTGGTGGCCAGAGCCATCATTCAGTTGAAGATCCACTGATGAGATGAAAATCCCATGCATCTGTCCAAAGCCCCTCCCCTCTCTGGCCTTGCTCAGGTCCCGGAGGATGATGCGCATCACCACCAACACCGTGACCTCCGCAGCGATCTGCGTGCCGCGCAGCGGAACCCCGCGCGGCGCGGCTCGCACCCTGACCCCTCGGTCCCCGGCAGCGGTGCCGATGAAGAGGATCACGTTGAGGCCTCCCAGAATCAGCTGAAAGAAGAGCAAGCCGACAAAGTAAGTGCCTTAAGTCACACATCGGCTCGGCTCGAAGGAGATCGCGCTGTTTGGTGCAGGGAGTGCAGGTAGTTGGGTGTTCAGAATGAAGGCAGAGCGCGCCGTTTTTGTTGGCTTTTCTTGTTTCGGCTTGGTTGAGAACACTGTCTTGTCCGACACCAAGGTGAGCTCGTCTTGCATGTCAGTCCTATGTGGAAGCGCTTGGACCCACCACCGGGATTTCATATTCTGAATGCCTTTACCCAAATCTTGGCTTGGATTCCCAGTGAGCGCACTTCAATTCAAGGGAACAAGCGCTCGGTGACCGGTGAATGTCACGAGGTCCAACGAACAGAAAAGCAAGTAGGGCACCTCAAACTATCCTGGCCATCATACACGCCGCATTTCTCCAGGCTGCATTGTGAGCAACGCTGCCAAAAGGAAACATGGCCAAGAAAATGCAAGCTGGCCGCAGCCTCCTGGCGAACAAAACCGAATTGAAGGACGGCACAATGTCTGGGCGCTCCCTCTATGATAGCCATGTGCCATGTGCAATTGAGACATGGCGGGTTTCATTCAAGCAGAGCGTCCTGCACTTCGGGCGCGGGCTCTACATCATCAAGTGAGGTGTAGATCCTGAGCGCCGGAGCTCGTGCCTTCACCCAGGGTGAAAACACCAAGAGCCTGGTTGACCCACAGAAAATTGGGGCCCCAAAAATGGACGACCAAGGGGGTCAACCACTTGTTGTTTGCGACTGTACGGCTGCCATTTCTCTTTTTGAGTGCCCTTTGTTGGCCGCCAGTGCCCAGACCGTGCTTCAGCAAGTTCGTGCCTTGGTACACGTTGAGTTTGTGTGGATCCCCAGCCATGGCAAAGTGTCTCCCTTGTGGAAACCTGATGTGCTCCCTGAATTCTTGCTTCCGGCGTGGAACGAAGTGGCTGATCGCTGTGCAAATGCTTTTCTGCACTCCCAATTTCATGCTTTACCTCGCTTTCAGTGGTGGAATGAGTGCCAATCAGCTCTGAAGTTGCTCCAGGGGAAAGGCACCCAAATCACTTACCCTCTTGCAGCGCCATCTATTAGTAGTTTCTGTGTCCCGGACCCCATCTTCCCACCATCTTCCTGGGACCCCAGCCAAACGCTCACGCCACACGCCACAATGGCCGCCACCTTTTGCACTGCGATGTTCGTCGCCAAGCACCTCAGCATTCGCATCATCTGTGTCAGTCGTCGTCCCTCGCAGCACGAAGTCCCTCCACTTTCTTGCTTCTGGGTCCTTACGGCATTATTGTTTTGATCCATTATACTGAGGACCGGTGACTTAGGAGTGGTGTGAGCCAATGACATAGTATATGATTCATTATGATCCAAAATCCGCCGAATCCGTCAGTAGATCTTTACATTGGTCACCACAACGGGCGCAGCCAAGGGCGCTTTCCTCCCAGGTAGCGCCGGGACGTGGTCTCAACGGCCAGAACCTGGGCGACCGAAAATCATCGAAGAGAGAGAGAGTTCTTGGTCCAAGACGGTTCTTCTTCAAGGGGAATTCCAAGTTGGTCGATCTTACCCACCCTCCATATGTTTCTCCATGTGTCCTCCGCATGGAGCTGTCCTCTTCTTTCCGACACTGCCCAAACACATGCGGAGTGCCTCGAAGCGTGTCCGCGGCGTTTCCCCGCCCTGCAGCTGAGACACCCGTCTCACCATGAGGTGCTGCATCCAAATGAGGCCAACCAGAAACAGGAGGGTCCGCACGATGATCACCCCATAGTACCTCGCATCATCAACATGTTCAGGTCCAACAGGGGTGACCTGGCAAATTCCAGCCTGAACGACCTGCCTGGACAAACCCATGTGTCCAAACACACATGGCATCCTTAGGCCCGCCCTTCAGCTAAGCCGACCCTCGGTACCAAAGGGAGAAATGCGTAGCACTGCCCCTGGCACGCATAGCTCAAGGCCAGGTGACTCTTTGTAGTAGTCGACGTTGTCATAGGAGCTCATCTCCTGGCAAAATCTGGCAAAGGTATGTGGCACTGCCCTAACACCAAGGCAAGGGACATGGTAGGTTTGAGTGGCTTCCCCACATCACAAGAACCTGACTACTCACTGGGGTCATTCACCGGTGGCGTCACCGGGTGCGCGATCCAAACGGCGCAAAACTCCGTCTCTCGCCGCGCCTGCGGGGCGAAGGTTTTCTGCATCATCCCATAGGCGCATCCGTTCTTGGCACGCTCGTGCGCTGGCAAGATGGCTGCCACCAACCCTTGGAACCAATTGAGCAGCGCATATCCTTAGCAAAGGGTATTAGGAGTGGCCTTCCGCAAGAAGAACTAAAGGCTCAAGATGAAAGACCCATCTGCAAACAAAAAGGACCTCCTTCTCTTAGGAGGTTAGCCGGGTAGCCAAAAACTAGGAACTGAAAAGGCTCGCGTGACTTTTTCACACCACTGCCCGACGCGCGTCACCGACACATCCCGGCCACACAAGCATGAAGAAGTAGAATGTTCGATCGCATTGTAAAATACCCTAGGCCCCATCCGGCCAATCTCATCCAACCAACACTGCTCCAGCTGAATCCCAGGAAGCGGACCGTCCGTTTGAGGCAAAGGCTCCGGCCGCTGAGAGGATGTGCGCGGAGTGCCCAGCGTTCACAAACATCAAGCATGCTGCACAGCCTGACACTGAAAATAGACCCTTCACTGGTCACACCCCACCTGAGAGTAGTATATCGCGTACCTTCGCTCATGGTGGATGGACTGGGTGAAGCTTTTGCTGCAGCAAGTCTCAGGAGGTCTAGCGCAGTGGCATGGTTGTAAAACTCTGACCGCAACTTCAATCCAAGCAGCCAGGGCTGCGCTGCAGTGTCGTTGGCTGGTGCTACGGTTTGCGTGCTACAGCAATGAGGGATATTACGAGATATCGCTACAAGTCACACAGGTCCGATCTCAAAAGGGCATGTTGAGAGGGACCACACTCGGGTCGTGGCCATCACGCGTTTGTGATCACACGCAGGGGTAGCGGCTGGTACATCACTCGGGTCCTTCACTACAGGCAGCGGGGGGGAAGCTTTAAACTTTAAACTGTAATCTCCATGGCCACTGCCTGCCACAGCAGATGCTGCCAAAATGGAGTAGAAGCCAGCGTGGTCTGCCTTGGAAGCATGCCATGCTCAGTCCAAGAATTGATGCAAAACAAACTCAGCCATGGGTTACCTACCATGATGTGCACATACTGCATGCTGTTCTACGATTCTACATTCTATATCTTGCATCTGGTGTTTCCCTATATATCTCCCGCTAAGCCTGCTGGCCAGGGACGACAATGCAGCCAGGCTCGGGCTGCTCTGTAAGGTCGTGTCGTAGGCGCCAGTCAATGGTCTGCAAATCATCCCTGGGTGCCATGAAGACGGCGTAAAGTGCAGTGACCTTAGGCCGAGGTTGGATGCCAACGAAAGGATGCACAGAAGGAAACATGGACTTGGGCTCTGGTTCCTCCCACTGATACAGTGTCGCGTGGCGGGCCTTCTAGGGCAAGAAGAAGCCTGACGAGTTGGGGTGCATGGTTTCCACCCAGATCCGAGCGCCAGGGGGGCTACCAGGAGCACGCTGGTGAGCGCGAAGAATAAGATCCAGTAAGCGAAGTGGCCTGGTTCACAGCTGACCCAACAAGCAAAGCCCACAACAGGAAAATATCACGGCTTACAGTGTCAATGCATGCAGCTGATAAGTTCCATTGCGAGAGGCTTTGTGCGGTGTATGTATATATATATATATAGTTGTAGAGGTAGAGTTGTATAACTATGTAACATATAAGCTTGGACGCTGGCAAGGCCTTGGAGAAACACTGCGCAGATTCCAACCCAAAAGAGGCCTAGAAGCCCACCCTGAACTGTAGTCTGGACATATCACTATACCGTACACCTGTACCTTGAGCTATGTCCGGCTCAAGACTTTCCGTGACGTACTGTACAGGAGAAAAATGTTTAGTCCTCCATCCCAGCTTGCACATCACAGCAGCTTGGCATGTAAACCCCCCCGAAAAAATGGCCCATGCAGTCAAGGTGCCCTCCTGCAATTGCAACAAGGTCCTGCAGGCTAACGTCGCACCGGCACCCCAAAATCGACCACGCGCAACCCGAAGTCGGGACCAAAAGAACTTCTTTGAGCATCTCAGGGGGTACTATGGCCCTTATCCTTCTCTTTTGACAGTCTCCACGTGAGAAAGTGCCAAGCAAAGGCTGGTTTCGAGGTACTGGCCATGGCTTGGACCCAACTTCCATTGTTTGGCTCGCAAAGTTATGGCTTATGGCTTTGGACCGGACGCTACTAGGAGCAAACCAAGGGCATCGCTACTAGGAGCAAGGGCCTTACTACTAGGAACAATTAGCTAGTAGAGACAATGCTCTAACGTGATTACCCCAACCGCCCACCTAAACAAGCGA